AGCACAGGTAGACAAACAATTTAAATCTCAAGTAAGCAAGAATGATAATTTACATGAGCTATTTCACAGGGACAGCAACTGCCAGTAATACATTCTTGTCCTTGCACCGCAACAGAATCCCACATGTAGAGGGATAAAAGCATTCAAATGCAGTTGCCATGAAATATGGGATGTAAAGTATTTGTTTGTTTATGCTGTGGTTAAGTGTTACCCAACAGAACTCAATTAATACAAAGTCATCACAGAGCACTGGAAATGGATGCCAAAAATACAATGCAATCAGTGAAGAATCAGCATCAAGAACATGTTCTTGTCAGACTGCTATATATATTTACTTAGCTCTCTTGTGCTATTTAGTATTTTTAAAACAGATATGGCAACATTTGACAAGACACAGATCAACTGAAGTAAAAAGTAACAAACAGTAAAGGGCCTGACATCTGAGAAAACTCCGATCACTTTAATAAAACTGAGCATTATTTCTGTAGGTACAAAGGACACAGGCCAACCTTACAGAACAGAAAGCTCTCTGAAGAAGGCTTGCATCATATTAGACAAATCAGACAAACATGAAATCCCAATGCATGGAGTTATTTGATATATCCATAGGTAAATACATCACATAAACAAATTTAACTGTCCTTGGCACAGCTGCTACTTTGTTTTAACTGCAGTTCTGATATGGTGGAATTATTTAGGTTGGGAAAGGTCTCTCAAGATCAAGTTCAACCATTAATCTAACACTACTACAAGTCAGGCACTAAAGCATGTCCCTAAGCGCTACATCTATGTGTCTTTTAAATACCTCCAAGGAAGTTAACTCAACCTCCTTACTGAGGAAGCTGTTCCAGTGTTTGACAAACCTTTACTGTTGTCAAACAGGAGTGTATCCTAATATCCAATCTAAATCTCTCCTAGTGCAACTTCAGGCCAATTCCTCTTGTTCCAACTCCACTTGTTACTTGGGAGAAGAGGCCAACCCTCACCTGGCTACACTCTCCTTTCAGGTATTTGTAGAGAATGATAAAGTCTCTTCTGAGCCTCCTCTGAGCTAAACACCCTCAACTCCCCCAGCTGCTCCTCAGAGGACTTGTGTTCCAGGCTCTTCCCTGGCTTCATTGCCCTTCTCTGGACCTGCTCCAGCACCTCGATGTCCTTCCTGTAGTGAGGGGCCCAGAACTGAACACAGGATCTGAGGTGCAGCCTCACCAGTGCCCAGTACAGAGGGACAATCACTGCCCTGGTCCTGCTGGATACAATATTGCTGGTACAGGCCAGGATGCCACTGGCCTTCTTGGCCACCTGGGCACACTCTGGCTCATGTTCAGCTGCTCTCCAGCAGCACCCCCAGCTCCTTTTCTGCTGTGCAGTTTTCCAGCTGCTCTGCCCAAGCCTGTAGCACTGTATGTGATTGATGTGAGCCAAGAGCAGGATCTGGCATTTGGCCTTGTTGAGCATCATACACTTGGACTTGGCCCATCAGTCCAGCCTGTGCAGATCCCTCTGTGGAGCCTTCCAGCCCTCCAGCAGATCAACACTCCCAACCGACTTGGTGTCACCTGCGAACTGAGTGATCCCCTCATCCAGATTGTTGATGAAGACATAAAGACATTTGTGATTCAAGAGAAATGTTCCAACACCAGAGTGCTCAGAGAAGTATCATAACAAGAACAAAACATAGAAAAATATGCCCAATGGAAACATTGTCCTTATTATTTACATTTAAGAGATCTTTCAGGGAAGAACTTGATTGCTTAACGTACGGGAAGAAAAAAACACATTTTTAAAATGGCTCTTCAACACAACATGAAAATAAAACAAAATTGTAATAGAAAAAGACAACACGAAGAAGGCAGAGTAAAGGTGCAGAAGTTTAAACACTGACGATAACTAACAAATATTAAACTAGGCTTGAGAGAGACTTGCCTTGCTGCACAGTTTCCTGTTTTCAAACAGTGACATTTTTCAAAAAATAAGCTTTAGCTTGCATAGAAGTCAGTACAGAGAACCTAAATATTTTATGCAGGAAATCACTGAAGGTAACCACAAGGATCCTTCTGGATTCCTGTATGTTGCTGGTGAATGCAATGAAGTCCCTCCTGAACCAGTCTTTTCATTTCAAGTGCCTGTGCCCATGCCCTTTACTCATAAGATTTTCACAACATTATGGCAGCAATTATATCAGCTATTTGCACAGAGCAGTAGTATGAGGCAAATATTTTTATATATTTTATATATATCTATTAGAACACAGCACACTTGCTGCTACTAAGCTGACAGGCAGTGAACCCAAGCAGGGTACACTGTGGTGTTATGGGGGAAATAAGACATTTCCTTCCTTAGCCACACAGGACTCTGCAGGTCAAGACACAGAAAAACAAATTCAGACCAGAGAAAGACTTTATTCAGTAGTTTATGAGGAAAGGAAGAAAAAGGACAACGAACAGAGATATGAAAAAAACTAAGATGAGCTGCACAGCACCTAGAGTAGCAGCAGATGCTATTTTGCTCAGTCTCACTATTATCCCTTGGTATTTGGTAGTGGTGAAAGTGTGCTGCCCATATGTACAAGCAGGACAAACTGTGTTGCATCAGGAATGTTTCTGAGGAGCCAGGTTTACATCTGACACACAGACATGCAGTAGGGTGTTCAGCCTGTAATGGTGGCACAAAGCAAGTTTCACAGAGTACAGCACACAGCAAGGTAATTCAGCCAGAGTTATGAGAACTGTAACTGAATACAAATGTTGGGAAATATGTCTGAAAAGCTAAAAATAAGTCCAACAGGTTCAATTCTCCTAGGATGACTCTATCCTCAACAGGTAGAAGAAGAAATCACTTTTAAATACAGATAACAGGTTTGCTAATACTCCGTTTTCTTCTCAGAAGCAGCTTATTAATTAGTCATGCTTATTTTTTCTCTGGTAATTCATTCATGCTCTCACAGATGTATTTCCACAACACTTTTTAACACAGAATGTGCTCCTCTGGTTAAATATTGGTTTATTAATGAATTGGTAACATTAATGTTGCATGTTGTCAGTTCTAATGTGTAACCATCATGCTGAGCAGTGCCAGCTCAAGCAGCTTTCTAACCTGTGCTGATACTTCAGGCACACAGCTGAAACTTCCTAAAACAGAGCTGCACCATGAAAAAATTCCCAAATATGGTTTGCTACCTGGGTGCCTAACAATTCTTGAAGAAGCACAGCCTGGAGACAGAGCACACACAAAAATGGCCAGCCCTGCATCGAATAGGCAGAACAACTATCAGACCACAGAGAAATTTTCCATCTGTATAAAGATCTTTCAGACAACTGCTTTCAGGCTAAACTGGCTTGTTTCAGTTCATGTCAAAAATGCCTCAAGAAAAGAAAGAAAAAGCTACATTCATTATTGAAGTCAATAAAAAAAGCGTCAGAACTGGCCACCACTGAAAATTATGCTCTGATCTGTCTATACATAATTTGAGTACAGTTACAAAGCACTTCAACAAGTTTCCAATTCAGAGACTTAAAAACATAATTTTGAATATAAGAATTTCCTACATTAATTACTGTCCACACTGGATACAAGTTGTTATATGATATATCTTAAATAAAATATATTAAATACAGTAAAATATATTAAATACAGGAAAACCAATGTGTTGCAATGAAACCAAGGATTTCAGTAGTAAAATCCAATTCAATTATATGAAATACGACAGTATTTCACTCCAAATTAGAAAGCATATACTGCAGTACCCTGAAGAGTAGAATTATAAAATTATATAAAAAACTCATGTGAAAACATTACAACTTTTCAAAAATCAAATATGTTAGCTGAGATACTTTAAACATGGAAGTGAATTGCATACTATCATTATTAACAAAAACATTGCTGAATGTTGACAGGACCAAATATTCACCCTATTTACCTGTTCAGGTGCATCTTGAAGACTGATTATCCAGCTCTATACATTTATGCTCATAGTCAACCTGTTAACTTATGTTAACTGACTTTTCTTGTGGCTTTATTTTACGTCAGGTTTAATTATCTTTTAAGTAAAATTTAAAAGTTTGAGGAGGTTTTGTTTTTTGAAAGATGAGAGGAGGCTAGGTGCTCTATTAACTATTAATGAGTAAGAAAAATAAATCAGTCCATAGACCTTAGAAGGAATATTCTCCCAGAAAAACTCTGGCCTGCTCCTCTTTCCTACTAGTCAATATCACTGTTTTCATTATTTGGCTGCTCCTAAGATGTAATGGAATTCCTCCTTACCAAATAACTTTGAAAATATAGTTAACTACAAATGCACACTGCAACCAATAACCCAGTAACTTCTTTTCAATCTAAAATGTTAGGTGATATAAGTAGAAATAAAAGTATGAAGATTAGTTTCCAGATTCTTACTGCAAATCTGAAGTTTTCAACAATCAGTATACAGGTTCAAGGTCCTTACAAGCAGGATGCAATAAGACATTATGTAATAACTTCCTAATTGAATGACTGGCTATTGCACTTTTAAAAATCTGTATTTTGTCAATGAACTCAGCAGGCCAGAAGGAAGAATTTCATGTTTCTATAATATTCCATCCTACTTTTTCATTACAATGTTTTCACCTAAATGAACCAGGTCGTGTCTAAGAACACAAGGCATGTACAATTGCTTACCTTCCCTTCTAGCCCACTTGGAGAAGGAAAATAGCATCAATAACACCAGGAGGGTCTTATGTAAAAATATTTATAAAGAAACATCTTGGTATTTTGACCATAGTCATCAGAATGTTATTCCTTAAAATATATAGGGATATTTGCTCATGTCAAATGCATGCAAATATTTTTATTATTAACAGATAAAACGGCACAGTTTTTGTGGACAACATAAATCCTTCACTATAAGCTCTTTAGGAAATAAAGTGTTTGTTTCATTGTAAAACTTTCATTTATGCTAAATATGCCATTTTTTTTCCAAAATTCAACATTAATGAGAATTAAGAGCACAAAAAAATTCTCACCTTTGTCTTCATGTAGAATGGCGATGACTGGTGAATGGGCAAGTCCATGAGGCTATTGGAATTTGTGACGCTATTACTGTTAGCATGTTCATCTTCTCTACTGCTGTCATCAGACTGATCAAAATCATCACTGTCCTGGTCCATTTCCTCCTCCTCTTCCACCTCCTCCTCTTGATCACCAGCATGTTCATCGTCATCTTCCTCTTGGTTACAAGTGGAATCTTCATCCACTGTAATAAGTCTATTATTATTTTCTTCTAACTGCTCCTGCTGAGACTCATGCCTGTCATCAAATCCAGGTTCTTCTCCTCCTATCTCCCCATTCCTCCCAATGTGCTGCTCCTCTTGTTGTCGTCTTTGCTGCTGCTCCTCCTCTTCTACGACGCGATTCATCTGCTCCTCATCTACTTGGCTTGAGGAAGCATTACCTCGAAGAGATCCACCAGTTCGTCGCCTCTTGCTGCCCACAGAGAGCAGTTCCTGATTCATTTCCAAAAGCCAGCTTGCTACTTCTTGGACCTTGGCTAGGCTATCTGAAGATGCAAATGCTTTCACATTCTAAGGAGATAAAGAAAAAGTGGAAAATGACAAATGTTACTTTTTTTAATTGGATAAAGCAGTAAAAACCTATTTAGTTGTATTATTCCTGGCAACTAAAAAACTTCCAGGAAACAAGGGATAATTTCTACTTGATACACTACTAGAAAAACAAACAACAAAAAATAAAACAAACTTCAGGCAACTTTCTAGCAAGATAATTACTTGTTCTGTCAAACGGTCTGATCACAGTGTCTTCAAGCACCAAATTCAGCAAAATTCAGAAGAACTAGTTGCCCTTCTAGAGAATCCACAAGACCCATTAGTATTCATGTTAACAGAAGATACAAGTATGCAATATTACTTGCAAAAAATTGTACACGGATCATTTCAAATGGTATTTATTTTCCCTCTCATTTGATTACAGACTTTGTATATCATTCAAAAAAACAAACTGCTTTTGGTCTTATGCATTAAGAGCAGCATATTTTCAGATATAATTGAAAGCTACATTTCTTGCTATTCTAATTTCCTTTTATATTAATGGAGAAGAGAAAGCCATTAAAGAATACAGCCTTATCACTGCCAAGTCTTAAGCTGGCCAGAGAGATGCCAGTGGTCAAGAGCAGACATCACTAGAAAACCTGTGTGGCACAGAAATGGCACATATCTCACCTGGAAAAAAGTAGTAATAGTAGTTATGGGGATTTTTGAAGGAGTAGTAAAGTTCTCCAAAGTCTAAGAAGCTAAAATAATTGTTAAATAAGTCTACGAGATGTTAAAAAAGGCCAAAATTAGGTATATTTTAATAGAAATTGAAAAATACTAATGCAATTTCCAAATTATTCATGCATTCAGCTACCCATGTGCCTCCAAGCAGCATATAAGAACAGGGGGCTATAACAGACTAATTCATTATTAAATTTTGTATCAGATTTCCAGCTATATAGCCTTTGAGGCTGGCACACAGACTCTGGTTTCCCTAGATTCAAGCAATGTGTTGACTTGATGAAGTTAGCCACAAATCAACAAGTAGTCAGACTCACAGGCTCTGAAAGCAATACATGAAAGCAGAGAGACATTAGTTTTGTCATTGTGTATAGAGCCACTGTCCTCGGGAGCCCACAGCCCACCCCACACACTCAGCAGGCCACACAGTGAGAGAAGATTCAGAAAGCACAACACCACAAATACTGCACGGGAGAACAGCTTCTGAGTCTCTTTGGAGTAGGAGCAGTAAAGCATGTTTCCATGAGTACTTCAGCACAGGATGATAATCTCTGAACCTCCCTCACCACCACCATCACCCCCTCCTTTTCCTTAAATCACCTATCTCTTATAGTTTTTTGTTTATTTGTTTTACAAAAAACCTAGGGCCTTGTATGATGGACAGGGAACATATAAGCCCCAACTTTGCTCCATGACATTTGCAAAAACATTCCCCTTATTGGTCAGTAGGGAACAAAGCACCAGAAACCATAGCTGTACTGTAATTTTCAGTGTGGTGTACCACAAAAGACACAGAAACACATTTACAGGTGTTTTTCCACTCCTTCTCTAAGGGGATTCATAGCTGGGATTCTGCACTTCTCTGTACCTTTGTTCCTTAGGGAAATTACAGTTCCAGTTACATCCAGAAACTAGTTACATCCCAAAGACAGGGTTCTCACATTTCCACATATCTACCCAGGTGATGATTCCTCCAAACAAAACCTTATAAGATCGATCACTGAAATACATGTTCAAAGAAAGTACCTATTAGCTTCCAATTAGTGAATGAGACACTAACACTAAAAGACAATTAAGCACCACACATTCAACAGTAGGAAGCAGACACTGTGCTGACTCTTAATTTTTCCATGGGAAAAAAGCTTTAGAGCACTTGGGTGCACATGACCTAAACCAGAAGCTAATGTCTGTGTTTTCATATTCAAGTGGTAGCAAAAGCAAATGTGTTTATTTTCCTGTGTACAGTAAGGAGCATTTAAGAAAGATGCCATGAAGAGAGTGCTCTAAGAGAAATGTTTTCATTTAACATCTTTTCCCAAAGCTCAGAAACCTTAGCATGTGGGAGTGATGTTTAATAACAACAATTCATCAAAAGTCAAATTTAGATGCATATATCATCTGATGGTAATACAACCTATGCATTAGGCTTGTTACATAGTTTGGACATTATGAATGAAACAATACTTCACCTTATTTTCTCAGCTTGGAAAGTTGAAGCACTAAATACTGTAAAAATCAGTAGTTTAAAAAAAAAAAAGGTTTACATCTTCTCAATCTAGAAACTCTAGTTTCCACCACAAATGTTTCTCTAAGTAGCCTTGGGTGTAGCTGAAAAGTTTAATTGCATTTTTTCAGTATCAGTAGCATTATATATGCAATTACTAGTTTAGTATGTACTTGATAAAACTGCAAATGCTGCATTTGTTTCAATAATTTAATGCATACTTCCAATTTGTATCTACAAGCAACCAACATAAAAGGTCAGCTTTGAAACATTAAAGTAATCAAATGTAAGAATATACCAAATGTTTAAGTGACAAAACATCACTGTTGTAACTGTTATTATACCCAAATGAAATTCCAGCCAATTAAAAATGTACACTAGTACCAGTACGTATTTTTAATTATTCCTGCAGTTTTGAGTGACCATCAGTTCATGAAATTAGCTTTAGTCGTTAGTGGTTTCCATTTTATTCTGCATTTGCATGAATAAACTCAATTTGTTTTTTCAAGAAGCCTGCAAAATACATTATCAAAATTTAATTACAAGCAGTGCTACATCAGAAATCATCAGTATGCAGAGAGGTAATGCATTTGCTAAAGAACAGATGGATGTACATTATCTGAGAGATTTGAAACATTAAAGCTTCCTTCTGTCATGTAAGTGCTTTTAGAATTAACTACTGTCAGCTAATACACAAGATACAATGATTTCCATACATAGGATAGGATAAGGAATAAGGATAGGAATAAGAAAGCATTTTGCAGGAAGAAGTGTACTTACAAATCAACTGCCAGAAAACTGAAATGATGTGTTTTCAGCATCTCTTTCATTTATACAGTCAGAGACCAAAATTACTCAAATAAACTAAAAACCAGAAGAAACACTGAGGAAAGTTGTTGTTTTTCCTACTTGTCTCGGACCACAAAGATTTTTTATCAGACAGACACCAAAACAGCAATGCAAGTGGCAAGACTTTGCATAAACATGCAAAACTCATTAAACTTGGTCAATGAATCTAACTTTTGGCAATTCCCAGGTAAGTTTCTTAACACTTGCATTGTATGGGAAAACAAAATGCAAGAAATGCCTAAGGAAAATGGAAGTCTCCAGACTGATCCAACAGTAAGCTCAGAGCTGTTAAAGGCATCCTACACCTCTATTGAAGACTGCATGCAGCCCCCACCTCTACTGAACATTAAATGCTGTGTAAGCATAATTCTTCAGCTTTATCAATTACATTTTCATAGAAAATATATTATAAAAATAAATGTGAAGAACAGTTGCTCAAAACAAGAAATGCCAAGCAATACTAGAAGATTAATGAGAAAACTGCTCAGGGTTATCAGCCACAACAGGTTGCATTCCGTACTGTGAGGATGATCACTTCACTTCCTGCTTTACTGCTGAAATATCTCTATCCTGCTACGACAGATAAAAAAGTCGTTAAATATTTTTAACCTATAAACCCACATAACTATGGGAAAAAGGAATTTCAATCAGCACTGCTTGTTTTTATTTTTCCACTTTTATTACTTGAAACTATAAAAAAATAAAATGAGGTGGATGTAGAAAGGTCGAGGTTGGGGAGTAGTGGAGTTTGTGTTTTTAACAAAATATAACAGATTGTGAAAAGGTTTGAAACAATTATCTTGGAAATTAATTTATTAGACTGACTTGGAGACTAACCTAAACAGCATGACAGCATTTAGTGAAAAGACAGTATAGCTACAGACACAACATGATTTATGGCCAGTGGACACTCCTAGAACAAATCTTTTGAGATTACAGATTTAGTGGACAAAGATAATTGAACTAACACAAAAACTTCTGTAGGTATTTGACTAAATCTTAACACTGTAATATATCTGAGCTAAGCAAAGGATCTCCTAAGATCTAAATATCCAAATCTACCTTCTGAAAAAGAAGTATAAGACCCTTATAAGCACACTGTGCCCAAGAACAGCACTGGTGCATTGGTCCTGAAAAGCAAGCAGTGCAGCTGTAGGGGCAGAGGTGCCCACAGGATACCAGCTCTGGGGAGAGGAGGTGATTTATTCCCAGACCCTCCCCCAAGCCTAAAACGACCCTTGCAGCTGGAGCCCACCTTCTCCTTTAGTTTCACCCGGAAGGTGCTCTGGGACAGCTTCAACTCATTCTATGGGGAAGCAGGCGTGGACAATCAGGAATTAGGCTCTAAAAGGTGCACTTGATCCAAGCCCAAACTACCACACCACGTGCAAATACACCTAACAAACCAGGTCATCTAGTGCCTGCTAAGCCCACTCGAAAAAACATGTATGAGAAGGGGATTTACATGCAGCATCAAGCAGGTATAAATAAATAAATAACAGAGTTAACACTGATACTCTGAACCATGTTTTACCAAAGAAAAATATATATCTGAGTTATGGCCATGACAGCGAATGTTGTAAAACACTACAAGCAAGACACATACATGGTGTGTTTAAGAAAACAGTTAATAAATTGGTCTGATTACTGGCTACACAGTTTGTATATGGGGAGAATTTTGAACAACAGCTAAGTAACAAACCAAAGCAGCCAACATGCAATAACTGAAATACAAAAATCAAATTAAAAATCTACCACCTTCTTTTATAGGTTGTGGTAGTGGACAATTATTCTCATACAAGTACTTAACAAAGTTAAGATAATTCAGATAAAGCAACGAATTTAACTAAAGTTATGAGCTTTAAATGAAAGTTACAGAATAATTTTGCTGCACTATAAAGGACAGGAAACATGATCATAGTAATGGAGTCACAAAACT